GTGTTGTGTTGTATTAGTCTGTATTCGATGTTGCATAGTTGGTATGTTGCCTTAACTTATTGATTTTGTGAACGGGATTCGAACATCGCAGTCACATCGCGTATTGAGAATTGTGGTGAGATCTTTTCTCTGTTGCTGTAAAGTAAACGAAATTGAGAATCTGATAAGTATTTGACTTTTTGAATAAATAACAGGCATTAGAATCGGTTCAATTTTAACGAAGCGATTCCTTTTCATCAACAACAATTTAAGCTGCTACTCACTTGACTGTTGCATTGCTCTCTGCGGTCATTTGATGGGGCATGGAGTTTCTCGAGAGTCGTTCGCGTCCTAATCCCCGCTCGAATTTACCGGGCACCGTTGGCACCGACGCTATCGTCGTTGTGGTTGCATTTGCAGTGATGATTGGTGCATACTTCTGGGCGACTGTCTTGACGCTGTGCATGGAGGATTGGTTGTTGCTGGCTCCATTGCTGGTATCACAATTCTGATTCTTCTCATCGGAGATGCTGCGCACGCGCTGTGTGCCATAGTCTCCAGCATGATGCAGTGTACTCTCGGAGCCAGCACCGGCGCGTGCCAGCTGCTTGAGATTCATGTCCATATCCTTTTGCAGCGAGTGCATATCGCCACGGGACTTGGACTTGATGCGCAGCGAGTCGGAGGCCTGGAAATTGTTGTCATCCGAGTTGAGCTCCGTCTTGGAGCGCGACTTGATGGTCTCGCCATAGTATTTCTGGGTCAACTGCTGGCGACGCTCCTCCTTGATTTTGTCGATGCGCTCGCGATCGAGGATGACACCGGTCAAGACGCTCTTGCGACCGCCCACTGGAGGATTGAGTGCGGCTGTGACACTTGGCTGTGGCTGTGGCTGGAGCAACACATTGTTCTGCTGTATCAGCGAGATGCGATTCTCGGTGGTGGGCGTTGTGATGTGCTGCTCCGACTTCTGACATATCTCCTCCGTGATGCTCATGCCCGGCAAACGCTTTGGCGGATTCAGCGTTTTGGGTCGTGTGAAATCAAAGCTCTTGCGGCGATTATTCAACTCCGGCAGCTCGGGCAATTTACAGGATGTCAAGTCTTGCAGCTGCTTGCCGCCAAATTCGCGCACAAATGCATTCTCATCCAGGGAGCGTGTAATCTTTTGTGTGTTATTTAGTTTCTTGAGCGGCACAGGCGCTGGCATTACAGGCTTTGGCGGAACGGCGAGAGGCAGGCTCAGCTCGTTGGGTTTCTTCATGGAGCCGCCACGTTGTGTGAAATCAAAATTGGGCAGCTGCTCAACCGGGGAGCTCTCGAATTTGGTGGCCAATTCCTTGACACTGAACGATGGCGATTTGCTTGGTTGCTGCTGTTCGAGTTCCATAATGTTGTTGTGTTCGGCACCACTGGGTAAACTGTCCAGACTGTCCAGTTCGATTCGATCACTGACTGGCTGCTGCTTGGCCACTGACTCTAAATCCAAATCGGAATCGATTTCCAGCAGTTCGTTTGTATTGAGTTTCATTTCCTCGCCACGTAGATTCTCGTACACTGTTTGCGGCTTGCGCAGCTCAATGTTCTCATAGAGCAGCTGCTCCTGTTGCTGCCGCTGTTCCTCCTCTTCATCATCATGCTGCTTCTGTTCCAGTTGCAGCAGCTGTTGTGTCATTTTGTCGCTGCCATCCTCCTCCACAATTTGCTTCAGGCTCTGACCATGCTGCTCATTTAGCAGCTGATTCACCTCGGTGACCGAATTGCGAAACAATTTCACCTGCTCGTAGACAATGTGCTCATCAAAATTGGTTTCCAGCAGAAGCGCTGGCTTTGCTGGCGGCTTCTCTTTCTCTGGTGATTTGTACGTAATGCTTATGGTCGACTTGATGGGACTGCTCGGAATTGGTGGCTGTAGCTTCTGCGGCGTCAGCGCATTGCTGGGCGTCTGCTCATAGTCCTCGTAGAGCGGCGAGCTGTCCTCCGTCGCCAGCAGCGAGTGCATGCTCAGCTGGCGCTGCAGATGCTGATAGCCAAACTCGCTGGGCGTCACCGACTGACTAGTGTTGTCCGTAAAGTTCGAGTTGTTCGGCGAGCTGGCAGCCTGCAGCTGTAGTTGCATTTGCAACTGCTGCTCCTTCACCGTGCGAGTTGCAGCAGCTGGCTGTGGCAGCCGTGGCTGCAAATCCAGCGACAGTTCACGCTTCAAGGCATGCATATCCCGCTGCTCCACATCCTGGAGATTGTTGAACTGCAACCGAGCGGAAATGTGAGTGATGCTCTTCTGGTGCACAAGTGTTTGTTGGTGAACTTACCTGCTGGCCAAGACTCTCGTGCGAGCTGCCCAAATAACTGCTGGCTGCATCCACGTTCAGCAGCAACTGCTGCTGCTGCTGTTGCAGATTGGAGGAGACGCCCGATATGCCCGACATGGTCGAGTTCATCATTAGCGGCTCCATATCGTACTGTGGCGTGTTCACCGCCGAACTATTCTCCGAGCTCTCCGTGTCGCACAGCAGCAGCGAGTAGCGCGGACTGTGCGCAGGCGTTGTGGGCGTGGCCACAGACAGCTTGACAGTCGTCTGATCTACGCTGCGCAGTGAGGCGCCACCATTGCTGTTAGGGGTAGAGATGGGGGACGGATTTAGCTGATTAATCAATTTGGAAATGGCGAGCAACTCACTGTATGGGCCTTGGGGCTGGCTCAGGCTTGTGACCCGGCTGAGTGAAGGTGCCCTGGTAGCTGAAGCGCTCCTTGGCCGCCAGCTGTTCCTTGCGCTTGGCGCCCAGCTGCACGGACGGATAGCTGTAGCGTGCAGCACCAGCACCAGCGCCAGCGCCAGTCGGTGACATCGGCAGCTGCGCCTGCTGCTGACCCTGGGTCTGAGCACGCGCCGGCTTCGGTGGCGGATGCACCTCAACGCTGGCGAATTGCTGCTGTGCTGGCAACGGATGCTCCGGTGTGCCGCAGTCAATGAACTGTATGTCCGAGAGCTGATCCTCCAGCTTGTAGCGTTTGCAGCAGTTCTCGGCGCCTGCGGGCTCATGGCCACAGGCGGGTGCCGGATTGATGTGGGGCTGCGTGCGTTGCGCTGCCGCTGCGCTGGGCGAGAGCAGATTGAGACGCGGCTGCTTCTTGGGGCTGGGGTTGACGCTGTTCGTCTGACTGGAGAAGTCCTCGGGTCGAGCGCGCATAATGCGACGCGTCGCACAGCCAGAGGCAGGCGGCACATTCTCCTTGCCCACACGCGGTGAGCTCACCAGCGATTCGCTCTCGGAGAAGATGCGCATCTCGGGCTCCTCGCGATCAAAGTTCAGGCCCAACTCGGAAAGCTCACGCGAAGGGCAGGTAGTCATGTGACCGCGCTGCGGCGACTGCAACAGATCAAAATAGGAGTCATGTGAGACGCTGCGCGAGTGTCCAACGGTGCGCAGGCTATCAATGGAGTTGGAGCGTATGCACAGCTCCATGGGCTTGCTGCCCATCGACGAGTCGCGTACATCTCGCGTCGTCTCCAGCAGCTCAGTCGACTTGGGCTTGTCGTGCTTGGAGAGCTCCTTGCTGCCATGATGATGTGCATGGGAGGCCTGCGCAAAGCTCACCCGGGACGACGAGGAGCAAGCACCAACGCTGCTGTTGGGTTCCTTGTTGGCACCGGCGCCTTCGTGTATTAGCTTGTGGCCGGGCAGCTCCTGCCCCTGGCGCTGGCTACGCGTGAAAATGGACTTCCACGAGGGCGTCTTGTCCGGCTTGCGTTTCTGCCAGCTGCGTGGCACGGAGAGCACCGTGTGATACTTATCCGGCAGGCTCGAAGGACCGCCGCCCACCTCGATGTAGGAGCCAATGTTCGAAGCAGCATTGCTGCCCGCTGCTCCGCTTGTGCTCATCATGTTGATGGGCAGCGATTGCTTCAGATCGCCGGTGCCCTCGATGCGCGAGTGTCGCTCCTGCGCCTCTTCCAGACTGATGAGCTTGGCCCCGCCTGTGCTGAGACTCTTGGGTCGCTCCACCAGACCCAGCGATTGATCCTGTTCACGCTGCTCCACCAGCAGGCTCTCGCAGTCCGTGAGCGACTCCAGACGCAGCTCAGCAGCGGCAGAGGCAGAGGCGGCCGCATTCGCTGCAGCGCTACCCACTATGCTGAGGCGTGCATTGTGATCCTCGAGCGCATCGAAGATGTTGTGACAGTTGCGTATCAGGTACTCGGTGACCACAGCCTGGACACCAACGCCACGCAGCGCCGCAACGCCACCCGACTCCAACGCCGGCGAGCGCAGCAAATTGGGCGCCCAAACAATCGCCAGATTCTTGTCCGTCATCCCGGTCCGTTCATGATGCTGTGATACCTTATGCAAGTGCTCCGACAAGTACTTCAGGGTGCTATGAAGATAACACAAAACCGAATTAGATAAAGTACCACTAGTTGAATTAGAACTACAACTAACCACTAAATCGATCGATAATATTCCCAAACTGTAGAGATCAATCCAAACCCAGAGATTAAATTTAATTTAGCATAAAACGACAAACTGGGTCAATGCACAAAATAAACAACATTCGATTTGAATACTTTCTATTTCACAAATGTCCAGACTTATAACAAGATTAGATGAATGTATTCTACAGCTCCGGGAAAGCGAAACATGTATACAGATATATATATATATATATTTGCGAGGGTATAGAATCTTCCGCACTATATGATAATAGCGGTTCATTTGAATTTATTTATACTTGTTTTTGTTGTTGTTATGAAAATAATGCTGATAACAGAATTAATGAATAAATTTATAATTGAAATGCTGGTTCCGGGAAAAACAACAGCAAGCAGAGATCTACTGACGAGGAGCAAGTAACGACTTGAAACTTTAATATCAATTTAAGAAGAAAGTGATTGCTCCAAGTTTGTGACACACTGCACACTTACCGATAGTGTGGAGGCGGCAGCTTCAGTACCGTCTCCTTCATGAGACGCAGCCGTTCGTCTGCCTCGTCGGCCTTCACCTGAATAGCCTCTACGAAGTTGTCGTACAGTTGATAGGTGCACAGCGGATTGGGCAGTTCGCGGAAGTACATTTTCAGCAGTGAGCTAACTGCATGAATGTCCTGCTTCATCTCCGGATTGCCCAGATCCGGTACGCGCTCCTCATCGAATGCGCGACGCAGTCGCTGAATGTTCGATGTGATGCCCGACAGACGATAGATGCCATCGATGACGCCATAGTTCTCAATGAACTCGGCGCAGGAGCGCAGCACCATGGGTATGTCCTGGCCGCTGTTCAGCAGATGCTCCGACAGATCGCACGAGAAGACGCGTTCCCTGTAAATGCCGCTCTGCTTGAGGCGGCGCCGCGACGGACGCGACAATATAAAGGAGCGAAAGAACGCAATTAGCTTGCCGTGCTTCCGCAGCACTGGCTTCGTGGGCGACGCATCCAGATGGCCCACAAGCGGTGCGGGCATGGGAAAATTACGTGGCACCTTGTCGCCAATGGTCGCGACGCAGGACTGGGGAAAGAAACCTACTTCGTAGAGGGACTTTTGCAGATGCGATTTCTTGCCGCGCCACCAGATCGATTCAGCCGGACTGGGCATATCGATCACCGAGATCATGTCGCCCACCTCAATGTTGATCTCGTCCGGCGCTTGCGCTAGATAACGCCGCACACCATAAGCGGCGCCCACCGCCGGCGTATTGATTGTGCGCTGCGTCTCGCCATCGGCCAGCGGCAGGCGACGCCCCTTGTTGTCCAACTGCAGCCAGGTGAGTATGGTGCCGCAGGTCAGCGAGTCGGACGCGATTTTCGAGAAGCGCTCCAGATACTTGGCCACCGCGTATTCCACGTCCAGTTCGGTCTGCAGCTGCGCCTCCGCCTCCAGTTCGGACATGTTGCGCAGCCCGCTAATCTTGCGATCGTAGACGCAACGGTGCAGCATCTCGTCCAGCATTTGCATGTTCTCGTAGCTGCGCTTGATCAGGAACGGTTCACAGCGTTGCGGACACACGCGTATGATGAACCAGCAGCTCTCCGGCGTGAAGGCAGCGGAGCGCAGCGAACTGTGCGCCAGCTCGCCGCCAATCGACTGCGAGGCAATGCTGCTGCCCATCTGCTCCGATTTGTCATCCAGCAGCTGCACCGACAATGCGCCCAGCTGCACACGTTCGTAATGGAAGTGGGCACACTCCTCCAGCTTGGGAAAGCGACAGGATTTCTGTGGGACACCAATATATAGATTAGTATTGGCTGAGACCGGCTAAGGAATCCATTGTTTACTCACGCTATTCAATGGCTGCACTGCCATGTGCCGGCTGGGCTTGGGGGGAGCGGTTGGCGCCGTTGGCGGACAGCAGCTGGACTCTGTGGAGGCGTTTGAGATTTGTGATGTGTTCATTGAGGCAAACATCTCCTGGCAGCTGCTGCCCAGGCCCAAATGCAGGCCGCCCAAGCTATCAACGGGCACCAGTTTAAAATTCAGCTGTGCGCCAATTGCAGCCGCCGGTGCATCCGTATCGAATTGGAGCGGCGCATCCTTTGAGGCAATCACTGGCTGCAGCTGGCAGACGCCAGTCTCGGGGGAGGAGATGGTGTTCGAGTTTGTCGCCAGTGCATGGGCATGGAGCTGTGCCGCCAGAGCGCTGCTTACCCGCTCGGACATTTCAAATGCTTGCACAGTTTACACGCGTTTAGTCATCTGCAACAAACAAATACAAAACCATTTCATAAATGCAGAACAATTGTAATTTATATTGTTTAGTTTAACTCTAGCTTTCAAGCTGATAAGATCTCCATGGCCATAATTTGATTGTAAATAATAATAAAATACATTTGGGGCTGCAAAGAAAAGACGATTACAATGACTCGCCTGCCAGCCAATCTAATTCCAATTATTCGTTTGATTTCTTGAGGTATTTCTGTGTAAAACTATACACTATTTGTATACATCTATATTTGTTTATTTATACCGATCGTAGCAATATAAAGATGAAACCCTTTGTATAACAGGTTTTTAAATATTGACGCGACTCTCTCAACAAGAGATGATCACTTTGTGGGCTTGCAGACTGTTTAACACTGGCAGAACAATTTTTGTAATTTAATTAGAAATTCAACGTATAATTGGAATAATTTTAATTTTTAAATTTGAATCTTAAGCCAAAGCCTATTTTGTAGTAATCAATATGCATGGGAAATTAACTATATTTTTGTATTTGCCAATTTCTTAAACTCTTAATGTGCACTAATCCAAACTTGAGCCTTATCAATGGTATATTTTTAACAGTGCATTTCGACGTTTACTTTCTAACACCACGCACGTATTTATCAATTACCCAGGCCCCGCATGTTCTACTTTCGGCCAGCAATCGGACTCTCTATGGGCAAAAGTTGTGAGTCGTGTCTGGAATTCCTTTATTTGGAATAAGGCCAGTGGCTCAGACGGCTCAGACGCTTAAGGATGTGGCACATAGCAGTGGCGACATACACAAATCTGTATATAAACATATATATATAGTTTAACCCATCTATAAGCAGATACGATAAATATTTATAAGCAACCAGTTGGAAGTGACTCGCCTAGCGGCAGTTCTGATTTACAGGCGACACCAAATGCAAGCGACGCGGCCTGCAACATTTAAACTTTCATAAATTAAACTAGCGGCGGGGCAAGCCGCGACGAGGGCAGTGGCAGTGAGTTGGCAACAGCGCCACTTGGACTGAGGCAGAGTGAGAGAGTGAGAGAGAGAGGGAGGGAGAGAAAAAGAGAGAGGGCGACTTTGCCGCTGCCTTTGGCGTCGGCGAAATCTGTAGAGCGAGACGGAAACGAGTTTTAACTGAGAATTGTGGGGGGAAAAACGGGGGGAGGTGATATCTGGTACTGGACACCGGGCAACTGCAGCAACAACTACCACATAGGTGGAGGAGGGCAACGGGGAGAGCGAGGAGTTCATCAAATGCAACAAAACTATTAAAAATGTTGACGTTAACGGTTTGAAAATGCAGCACATAAAGAGAAATACAAAGCGACAAAAAGTGACAAACGACAGCAACAAAAAGTGCGCACACCAAAAAAGCGTTAAACAAAATAAACAATTTGATACAAAGAAAAAAAAATACATAAACAAACGGCAAAAAAACGAGCTGGGAAAACAAACAGCAGAAACAAAAGAAAAATAACCATAGATCAATGCGTCCAAATGTAGCTGTAATGTGGCCCGGACGGACACGAAGCAAACGGGAAATGGGATTCAAATCATGAATAAATGCGTCAGATTAACATTATTAATGATATCTTGAACATTCGGTCCATTATACACTGTTCGATTGTTTATGATATCTATTGAGGTTCTATAATGAAGTTAAATGGCCAGCTCAATAATTGAGGTTGAGGGTTAATTTATATATATTGATAAAATAAAAAGCTATATGTTGATTTATTGCCATATAAATGTACTGTGAACTATTCAGGTTAAGGGCTAAAAATAAATATAACAAGTTACCAAAAAGTTCCCATTATTGTTTTCAGTATAGCTCTAATCTGATTATTCTGAACATCAATATTTATAACAGCATTTCCAAGTCCGACTTTCTGGTATTATTAATTCAAGTTTACGAATCTAAAGACAATTGAATTAAATACCAAATTCGTTACTTTAATATGCGTTTATAGAGATCAGTTTCTCAGCTTTGTCAATTTTTCTGTGATAATCAATATGCCCGCTAACTGTTTTGCCTCAAATGAATGTTAATTTAAGTTTGTATTACTGCAATTGTCGTAATCGTTTTTTTTTTTTTCGTTTACCGTTACATAGCGCTGATCGGTTTTCTGTGAGCGTGTGTGTGTGTGTGTACATATATCAAATGAATTTTATCTCACACATTTTCAATGTTTCGCTTGATTAGCTGTTCTCGTTGTTGTTGCTTTGGGGTGTTGCAACTGGCCGTTGCAGTTAGCTTTCGGTTTACCCATGCACTTTGGCACCACTTCCAACGATGAAGACATTTTCCCAGGCCAGGCCAGTCCAAGCCGAGCCCAACAGCCGAACGAACAAATGAACGAGCACCAATCGACGAACCCCACCAAACGAACGGTCAGCCAAATCATGTACGTCACTTTCTCCAATCAATTAAGCCGCATACATTGCACTGCAGTGTAGACTTGTACTCGTGTGTGTGTGTTTGTGTGTCTTTGTCTGTGAGGTGTTTGTGTGTGTCTGTTTGGGTAGCGGTTTCAATCGCTTGCAGCGTCCGCAGACTAATTAATGCTATGAAATAACTTAATATTGAACAATACTTGATGGCTTTTTAATAGTCTGGTTTTACTTTTTTCATCTTTTTTTTTGTATCTCTCACGACTGACCCAATTGAGACAAGTAGATGTTTGCGTGTGTTAAGGAGAGTACGTGACTGCGTGATGCCCTGTAAACAGGTGTGCTCAAAATAAAATGGGAAATAGGGTATAAGTAAGTTGATCCGTCTGTATGGGCAAGCCGCTCTCATTAGGAATATAAGTTCTCTTAAATCATATATAGGTCAAGCTTGTTTTATTTTATCGATAACTGTCAATCCTTCGCATATATAGAGAAAAATCATTTTCCGAAAGCAATTGAATTATTGTAAAGAAAAAAACTTCCAATTTATATATAATATTCCCCCACAGATTATTGATTAACCGCAACTGTAAAAATGTAATTAAGATGGGATAAGAAACGCCTTTTTTCATACCGAATAAACTAATATCAGCAGCAAGACTGATATGCAAGTAAAAGCTGGGTTCAGTGTATATCCTAGTCGAGCTCTCGCTACTAAATCATTTGAACTTGGTTTCATTTTGAATTTTAAAATTATAATACTCAGCTTAAATGTTATTATTACATTATTAATCTTCTTATGGCTCCCAACTTGCCTGCTCAGACAGCATTTCACCAATATCTTTGATTACAGGGTATTACGAACGATAACCGCCTTGCCTGCCAGACAAAGCTAAACTGAGCTGAGCTGCAGTGCGTGTTTGTATCTATGTATGTTGAGATACTAAGATACTGGGAGACTCGTTTTCTTAGTCGTACTTGTATTTAATAAGCGAACATTGCACATCGCATACATTCTAAGTTGTCTGTTGTTGTTGCTGTTGCTTTGCAACTGGCAACTGGAAACTGGCAGTCAGACGTTGCTTGTGCTAATTTATGGCACTAACTGGGTCACAAAACTGACTGCTCTGTGGCGTTTCTAGAGCGAGCACAAATTCAGTTGCAAGCACTAACAAACGATGATGTCGACCATAAAAGACTTACGGCTGTGTTTGCACACACTATATATATATATATATATATATATATATATATATATGCCATGCATAATGTGCTTAACGCAGTTGTCTCTCTGTCCGCCTGTCTGTCAGTCAGTCAGTCAGTTGGTCGGTAGTCATTTAGCTGCTGGTTGACTGACATGCTGCTGGTGCACTCAACAAGTGCAGAAGTGATGTGTATCTGCAACACAATAGGATCCACGCCTGGTCATAGGAAGTGGGAGGAGCCACAGCCGCTGCCACATCCATGTTCACATCCCAGCAGATTACAGCGCCGGGAAGTGCTTTTCACTGATTCTAGGGCATTAAGTGTTAATGGTTTCGAGGAAGCATTAAACAAGTCAACAACGAGAACAGAACACAGCGTGAGAACCTTAAGTTGCAGCTGCTTACAACCTGAAGTTAAGGAGTTGTTGATGCACTAAGCACTGTTGATGTAAAGCTAGCAACCTAATTACATATGATTATTGTTGATCTTTATTAATATTGTATAGATTCTAGAATGAACCACATAACAATAGCAAAAATAGCAGATGATCATAGATAATTTCTTTTTTAATGTGCACTAAAAACAGTCCACAATTTTTATAAAGTTTTTATTAAATACAAATTTAATATTAAAGTTACAAATTAAACTATATAAAATGAAAAGGGAAAAATTAAAAAAAGTTTTTAGATTTAATATCCTTCAACTATGTGTTAAACTATATTAAATGTATTAAAGTATTAAATACATTTCCAACATATTATACTTTTTACTTATTAGAACCGATGCAAAGCATTAAAGCATACTCTTAGATCATTTTTGTTACAATTATGGTATATTTGAAAGTGTATAGTAAAACTTCTTAGTCACACTTATCTACGCAAAGTGATTTTAATTGTAGAACAATGAGCCACAATTAAATAATATATTAACCAAGTGATGACTAGCTACCACTAATGATTCACACTATTTCAGTGTTTTTGCACCAATTAAAATTATATATAGAGATATGTATAGACGATACTTTTGAGCGCCAATTGAAAACAATTCAAATTTCAAATTTCTCATGGACAATGACTAATGAATGCGCATAAAAAGTCATTAAACTGACCAATTTCAATGACTAGCAAGTGTTGTCTGCGCTTTACGGACCGATGGACGGACGGATGAATGGATGGATGGATGGTAGTATGTGCGATTAATGCTCGACATATAAAATATGATGGTAATATTAAACGATGGGGTGCACGACTACCCACTGCGAGCGATTTAAGCGATATAGCAGCGCAGATTTCCAAATTGTGCCCCCAAGGTTGGCTGGCTGACTATAGATTCCGGTTCCATTGTGCAGCTACTGGTTGCTAATCTCATCGACTGGCGTCGTATCAATCTGCGACTCAGT